GGGTCTGGCATGGTGTGCGGGGCTGGGCATCTACTGACCCTGGTCCCTCCACTGAGCTATCTCGTTGATCCAACCCAAGAGTACTGTGTCAAGTAATTTAGCCCTTAGGCACCTAACAGGGACCTTTCTGCTGCTTATACTAACAATTACTTTACTATCCCTAAAAGTGAATAAATTCTGGAGTATTTTTGGATAACTGTAAATTGTTGGGGAAATGTCTAACTATTTACTTCATACAACCCCTAAGCAAATATTGGAATCAATTCTGGAGAAATTCAAAGGAATTCCATGGTAATTTTGAAAGAGCCAACCCTACGGCACAACAAATCTGTGCCTTGTCAATGGTCTGTTTCCTCTCAGTGATTAACATGATGTTTCTCTTCTAAACTTGTACTTGCATTCTCCAAGCTGGATATTTTGAATTTGAAGCAAAACAGTTTTATACGTAGTATCACCATACTGCTAAATATTATTATTTTCAGAAAATAAGATTGTATGGTATTTGTGTTTTTTTTTTTTTTCTGAAGTTTCACTCCACAGCTATTGATACAAAGTAATAGTGAGGCTGAACAGCTGAGCATGCGCCTCAGTGGTGCAGTGCTTTCTACCATGTGCAAGGCCTGCGTACTGGAATGGGGGGAGAGAGAGAGAGAGAGAGAGAGAGAGAGAGAGAGAGAGAGAGAGTGTAAAGAGCCTCAGTATTGTGATGTGCATGGATGGGGTCTCTTTAAAAATGAATTAAAGGCACAGTGGTGGGGGTTTGTTCCCCAGCCTGCTGTGCTGACCCCGCCCCCAGGGCATGCTGAGATGGCAATTGAGACTGGGCATGGTGGTGCACGCCTGCAATCCCAGCCCTTGGGAGGCTGTAAAGAGGTGGATCACTATGAGCCGATCTAGTAGTGAGACCCTGAACACCCTGAAGACCCTTCCCTAAAATACAAATAAATAAACAAAAATGAATTAAGAGGTCTGGTCCGATAGCTGAGCAGATTAAAGTTCTGGCTTAGGCAGACACAGGGGCCGGGGTTCCATCCCCAGGCCTGCCATGCAGGCCCCACCCCTGGAGCATGCTGAGATGCAGGCTGAGATTGGGCGTGGTGGCACAGGGCTGTAATCCCAGCACTTGGGAGATTGAAAAACAGGAAGGATCACTACAAGTCTAATCTGTGTAGTGGGACCCTGTAGACCCTGTACTAAATACATAATAAATAAATAAATAAATAAATAAGGGGGGCTTTTTCCTGACATATCTATTTACCATGTCATGTAATATAAATGAATTATTTTATTTATTCATTTTAAAATTATTTTCAGGATATAATACTGTTTTTAGATAAACTGGATATTTGTCAGTGTGGTGGATAGAAAGAAAGCTTCTTCCTAGATGCCAATGAAGATTTAATTTTTCAACAACTACAATTGATTTCAAAAAACAAATAATTCTGCTTTCTTAAATGCTGCCGGAAAACAATTGGACATCACCAACTTTATCAAAGCTTTGGCAGACAAGAGCCAGTTGATCACAGCTCTGCCCGACAAGATAGGCTATTTCCACTCTGTGCAAGTCTCCTTCCCGTTGTTTACCCAGAAATGCAAGCTGCAGATTTATGCAGGTCAGCACAGCTGCTTCTAGCAGACTGTTCTTGGCTTTCTTTCTGATGACCTAGAACACCTGTTTTGAAAAACTGCCTGGCCTGAGGCTGAAAACAAAAGAATCCCTCCGAGTCTGATCTGTATAGTGAGACCCTGTCGGCCCTGTACTAACTACATTAACAACAAAACAAAACAAAACTTTCAGGCTAGAGTCAACTTTTATTCACGGTGTCCTGTGGTTCAGGACTCTGTGCTCTCAGTCTAGAGGAGATCTAATTCTACAACAGATTAAAATCGGCTTCCTAAGGGCCCATTTTGCTTTGCCTGCAGCCCAATTTCAATGCAATTGTGGGGAGGTTTTATCCCGTCACTGACAAAAATGTTAGGTTTCTTGACTGTACAGTAGAAAGATTTCTATATCTATCCACCTTATTTTTACACAGTTTGCATCATCTGTTGATGTGAAAATACAATATTCACATTCTAAGCCCTCAAGAAAGACTGATCTTGGAACACTGAGGCAACATCCTGAGGTATCTACTCATTCCTTTTCCCTGAAAACTGCCTCCACCCACAGCGTGGAGCTTTAGAAGACTGCTGTGGGTGATTCTGGCACTTAGTCTCATGGGCTGAATTAAGGAGGAGACCTGACCCATCATAAATCAACTGCACTCCTTTTCCCAATAGTTTCAGGTCAGGTCTCACAGTCAGGTTGGCTGGCGTTGGTGCGTGGTTGTATCACGGCTCTTTTCTTTATCTTTGTAGATCTATTTCTCTTTTGAAGTTGGTATGGATGCAATATATCAAGTAACTTTACATTATTTCTCCTTTCACTCCCCCATGGAAAAATCATATTCAGCTGGTCCGACTATATCGTGACTTTGTCAAAGGTTGTTTACAGAAATGATTTTATGGACAAAAGCTGCATTTGGTGAAAAACTCTATAGGAGGTCAGTTTCCTCAGTGGTCTCTGTGTATGCTTTCTAAGGCATTTGTGCTTCATGAGTGTCTGATAATTTCTGTTCCCTGGATGCAACCAGGAATCCCTGGGTAGAGAGGATATATCAGGATGGTATTCTTGGTGACAATTATCAAAACGGGACTGTGTTTTCTATGGACTTTATTTGCTATTGCTACTTCCAATTTGTTAAACAAAATTGTGTATGTGTTGTAAACTGCTTTAAGTGTCCTTAGAGAAATGCAAATAAAAATCAATAATCCTTTGTTTAGTTAATCAAATTTTTTTAGAAAAGTTGTCTATAAAAATTAAGGGTAGTGTTGATACGCCACCGACTACGTTCCAGAAGTCATGCCGATTAACTCCTTAAAATACTCAGCTTAATCCAAGAAACTAAAATCTGACTGTCCTTATAATATTCTCTTACTTCTGGTGAGTGAAACTAATGACTTAAACAATATATATTTGAGAATAGTCTGCTAAAATGAAATAGTCTGAAATATTAGCAAAAGATATAACACAGGTCGTTTCTATCCCCTCTAAAATACCACAAGAACAATTCCTAATGTATTGTTAGTTCTTTCTTTCCTTTTTTCGACAATGAGTACCTATCTATGTCCAGATGCCCCAGTCTGCGTGGTACAAATCCTGAGAGACAATGTTGGGTGTCAGTTTGAATGTAAAGAGCGTCTTGGGAAGAAGATGGGATTGTGAGTTGTTAACATAGTAGAAGCTGAGTGGCCTCTTAGGAGGAATCAGGTCTTGGGAGCACGACCGGGGAGGCTGTGTCTGACCCCTCACCATCACCTCTCGGGCTCATCCCCTGTCCTCTGTGTCCCAGGCACGGTGAAGTGAGCAGCTTCCCCTCCATGCGCCTCATCATGACATCTCTGCCTTGGTGCTAGCTAACCATGGCATGAAAACTCTGAGATTAGGAGACAAATTAAACCTCCTTTTTAAGTTGAAGGCAGGCGATATTTTGTCCAGCAACAGAAAGCTGATTAATGCTCAAGCTGTCTCAAGGCTTAAGCTAAGGAAGTGTTGCACGCTCTTCAGACTGGCTTTCTAGGCATCATTTAAGTGTTCCTTTTTCTCCTTACACGTGTAAGTGCTCGGGTTTGGAGGCTTCCAAAGTACACTCATTAATGCAAAGACCAAACAACTCCCTCACTTTGTGTTTTTTCATTTTTGCCTTCCTTCTAGTAAAACACTTCTTAAAAAATATTTCCATCTTGAGCAGCTCAGGTGCTGGGGAAGTGGGGACATAGACAGGACTCATGTTCCACCCCCCATACACACGCCTTGTGAAGTTCAGTAGATGTATAATGCCTGCTCTTGTTAATAATCCTTAAAGTCTAATCATGAATAATACACTTTTATTAACTTTAAAAATACTGTTGAATTCCAACTAGAAGGAATTGGAAAGGTACTTAACTTCTTTTAATTGTCACGCATGTTGAATAGATATCCCAACTGCATTTTTGTTTAATGTAATTTGAAATGCATCATCTCAACACATATCTTAGAAGGATAAGAAAATAATGATGAAAAGCAGCTAGCCAGTTATAAGGAGATTTAGCTCTTAAAATGAACAAATACAAACAGAGATAAGTGGTCCCTAATGGACAAGAACTATTTGTCAATGATATGGAAGCATTCAAAGTGCATTTTGAACTTCAGTGCAGAACGGAACAACAACAAGCAAAATATGCTAAAGGGGACTAGATCACCCCAAGCCACCCAGGTATGTCGGCATGTATTTCTCATTCTGTCTTTCAAGCAGCTTGTAATAATTTTTAAAAGAATGGGGCAGCCTTCTCTTTAGTCACTATGCAAACTAAATGTGTGGTTTTGTAAAAGTTCTACAATCTCAAAAGAGAACCTATCTGGCAATTGGAAGAAGTAAAATATTTTTTTCAAACAGGTTAGTTTTCAATTCAAATAGTAATGCAGTCAACACTTTTCTGAGTCAAGATATAATTTTCAGTATATAGCTAGGCTTGGGCCACAGAGATAGCTGAGCAGTCTAAGCACCTGCCTAGGCAAGCACAAGGACCTGGGTTTGATCCCCGATACCACGCGTCATGCTGGCCTCGCCCTGGGTGTGCTGGGCTGGCCACCAAGACCAGGCATGGTGGCACAGGCCTGTAATTCCAGTGCTGGGGAAGCTGAAGCTGAAATAGGAGGATCATTAGGAGCAGATGAGTAGTGAAACTCTGTGCCAAATATATAACATTTTAAAGAAAGCTAGGTTTGTTCAGTCTACAGCTAGGTATGGGGTTCTAGGTACTTCCATGGTATAAATATGTGCTCCAAAATTTCATAGGTTGAAAACTCAATCTGCAAATTCATACCTTAAGGGAACTGGAGGTAGGGCCTTTGGTAGGTAAAAGATTCTACGAGGTTCTGAGTGTGGGCCCACCACGATGGCATGAGAAGCTGGAGAAGAAGATCTGAGCTGCGTGCTCGCTGTGTCTCGAGATACGATGCCTCTGCCGGGGCATGTTGCAGGACAAGAGTCCTCCCCAGGCGTCAAGGACAAAGGCTGGAGCTACGCTCTTGGAAGAAATATGAGTTGATGAACTTCTATTCTTTACAAATCTCCCAGTCTTAGTTACTGTGTTAAGCATCACAAACCAAACTAAAACAGGTGCATGAGACTTTTCATTTCCAGTTGAAAACTGGAGGAAGAGACTGCGGACGTAGCTC